TAAGGCTGAGCCTGACTTGATGGCTCCCTCTTCCAGGCTCAGCCTTAGAAGAGTAAGCGGTGGTGTCGAGAAATAAATGTCATAATCGTGAGGCCGCGTTCATACATGGTGCAGAAATGCGGAATATGCAGAACTGCGGAACATGCAGACAGAAGATGTATACGTATCGATTTGAAAACCGCATTTCTGCAAATTCCGCGGAATTTGCAGAAATGCAAAATGACGGACAAAGAAGTGATGGGGATCGATCGATTCGTTCCTGCCGTCGTGCGGAATTGGGAGAAATGCAGAATCTGCAGATTCCGCGGAATTTGCAGAAATGCAGAAATTACGGACAAAGAAGCGATAGGGATCGATCGGTCCATCGGCATTTCTGCAAATTCCGCACTTCTGCATATTCCACGGTTTTTGAAATCGATAGACATATTTTCTTTTTCTGCAAGTTCCGCGGTTCTCCCAATTCCGCAGGTCTGCAAATTCCGCAGTTCTGCACATTCCGTGGTTCGGCATTTCTGCATCATGTATGAACGCGGCCCAAAAGGGAAAGAGGGGAAAGGATCACAATTGCTTTAACAACTGCAATGGGAATTCCACGAAAACTTATCAGTCCTCATCCTTAAAAATGCACAGAACTTCGTCTAAACTACCAACAATAGGTACAGGAGATCAATAACGCACAAAAACTACGAACTACGTTCTACATACATATCTCCTCATTTAACAGAAAACGAAAGCAGACAACACCAATCTTCAGCTCGTTTTTTGAAGGGGTACTGTAGTCACTAAACCCGTACGCAGGCACCCTGCGTCCGTCATCACTTAACCGACGTTGCCTTTCGTTTTTCGTCTTGGAAGGTATGTCTAAATTCCTTTGAACTGCTTAATTGGGACTGGATTATGCTGATTGAAGTATCTAGAAAAAATAGAAAGTGACTTTAGATACTTGGATGTCTTTCCGAGCAAAATGTGATCTCTGTGATGTGAAACCCTTTTTACATGTAGCGTCTTGATGATTTCCTTTTCATTTACTTGTTCGTTGATTACCCATATTGTTGAAACTCGTGCGGAACATTTTTAGGGACAGAACTCACGGTGATACTATTGGTTGACTCTGAAAAATTATGTTTATGCTGAGGTTTAATTGAGAAAATAACCATATTGTCGTTCCGACCCCACAACTTTTTGTGAACGTTGACTATTCACAAACGGCGAGATTTATAGGATGTTACCGTCATGTCGGAACTTGCTCTGTGGAACTATGCGTATGGCTGAACAATCGTCACGAACAATAGCCCGTATACCCCATTACGAATATCATATTAGGTTCAGCCCTAAGGATGGACGGAAGCGGCCAGCACAAGATGTCCTTGATCGGTGAGTGACCTGTCGTTCATCTACAGTCTTGTTCGCTATGGATGAAGGGGTGTGTAAGGCGGTTTGCTTGGCGCGGCGGCAAACCATATACCCTCTGGAAAGGAGCGAAGCAAACAGTTAGGTTTGAAATCTCTTGTCTTGAATAGAGAAGGAAAAAAGCTGGTATTCTCATTGCTTAAAAAATTCTAGATAGCTTAACTACAACAGATGCTCCAAAATTTTCGTTATGATAGGGAACATCAGCTAAGAAATCTACCGCTGTCGCTAGGTCCGAACTCAGGTCTCTGTTTTTCTCCAACAGAGTTCGTACTAGCTTCAATTTCCTCTTACGCAGCAATCTATTCCAAAAAAAAACCGATCACTGAGCAAGTTAGCCTGAGCAAGTTAGTTTGACCTTTTCTTTTCCACTGCTTCAACGAGTTTGTTGTTGTTCCCAACTTGGTTGTTTTTATTTCAAATTACATGCAGCCATGCATGTCCATAAATAAATAGGTGAAACCCGTGCTCCACCAGTTGTTGTTGCAGCAGTTGATGGGAAACAACTAATACGAACGATTTGATAGTCTTGTCGCTTGCCTGCTTCAACAACTGGTGGAAAACGGGCTTGGCGCCGGGTGAAACCCATTCCGCCGGACACGCTCCTTCATCCGCAGCGACCAAGAGTATATTCACTCATGATTTGTGTGTGATACAAATTATTTCCATTTGTTATGATGATTTCAACGTTTTGCCTTAAGGCAAAGAATTGTTGTGCAATCTTCGGTGGTAATTATCAGTACCTTACCTGTTAAGAGACAGATGACATGTCAAAGACATCACAATGACGTGTGAAATGGCATGTCATCTTCTAAACCTTTTCAGGTAAGGAGTCTACTACACTTGGCAGACAGCTAGGGGCCACCGCTGCGCTAGAAGTTCGGTCGACGCGGAGTATACAGTTCGCAATACGTTTCAGCATGTTCTATTGTCTATCTGGATATTTACGGTTCAACATTCCCGGCCATCTGAGTCCGGTATCTTACCGCGCGCGATAAAACCAGGTTTCGCCGCGTTCATAGTTCGCGATCGGATCGCTTGGATCGCGAAGTATGAACGCACTCTAAACTGGTTCCAAACGCGGTGATGACTCTTGCCACAACCCGCGTCGCTTTCGCCTTGTTTGATTCCTTAGGTGGTTTAGTGACAACTTTTAGATTCAAACGTTTGAACAATGGAATGTGGATCCGTGCCCATCCAGGTAAAAACAAGTTGCGATATGCCAAGGATAAGAAATTCAACGAGACAAGTTTATACCTGGAGACATGTACGAAGGTGGGTTTTCTTCAGTTGAGTGCTTTTACAGCAGCACTTTTTTCAGCGTATTTCTTGTCTTGTCATTGTCATTTGTGTGCTAGAGTTTTGAGGTGTAGAGCCGCGCCGTGCACAAAATGCCGACGCTGAGAAAATGAAGGAGGGGAGTACTTTTTTAAGTAATTGGCTAGACAGGCTAAATAACTTCTATGTTAAGTCAATAAGGTCCTGGTGCGAGTGACGCAAACGTTACTCCACGCAACCCAGCTTTCGCCTCATCGCTGCAACAGCTCTCCTATGCCACTTCTCTCAGGTTTGCATGGTCACAGGGCTTCTGTCAACCGGATTGGAAGGATTCAGAAATATTTTCCATCGCATCGTCTGGCCGACCTTTGAAGAGACGAAAATAAGGTAAGAAAGAAACGGACGGCAAAGAAAGACGGCGGGAAGAAAAAGGGAAGATTCATGAAGCGGTGAAGAAGATCCTGGTATTCAGGTTTGCCGTGCTTTGCATGGCGGACATGGTAGAGAATATATAGCGCTAACATATGGATTTTGGCCCAAATGAGATAACATGGCCTTCTTATCTCGCACGAAGTTATTGGACTTTATTAGGTTATTTTTATGAAACAAAGAGAGGGCGTCTTCATGAGGTAAGGTGGAGGTTGGTATCAGCAACTATACAAAAGAGGTGCGCATTCGGGGCCTGTAGTATTACAGCGGCGAATGGGGCGCGACCTCAATATAGAGGGGGGGGGGGGCTGCAGGCAAAACCCATCCACCAACTTTCGAACAGGGTGGTAACGAAAAGGAAGCATCACATGACCTTCAACGACCTCGTCAATTTTTAGCATGAATCTCCTTAAATAAGGTAATTCGGAAGCTTTCAGTTGGACACAGCCATATACTTAGCAACTGAGGCCTGAGCGGTTTGAGCTTTTTAATTAGGGGTAAAAAAGGGTGGCTGTCAAAAATGCTCAATTTCGTCGACCTGACACTCCAGTTTGAGCACTTAAATATTAGTGGGAAGAGAAACTTCAAGAAAACTAAGAAGACTATCGTATAGGGCTTGTAATTCTCGGCAACACAGTACAAAACTCATGGCAGAACTATTCATCTTTAGCACGATATTTCGAGTGGGAAGACGCCATTACATATGGGTCGACCCAGTAGTTGAGGGAGCCACGCAACGACCGTGCCGATCTCTCTATACTGCTCAGACTCCGCGACTGCAGCGCTTCGGTCGCGCGATTCGACGATCGATGCGCATGCTTTCGACTGCATCGATCGCGTCGAACGCGCGACCGAAGCGCTGCCATCGCGAAGTCTGAACGCTGCCTGGGGAGTGACTAGGGAAACACTCGGCGGCTTCAAGCAATCGAATATTGGGGTACTCTATGTAGCCCGTTTCCATTCGGATTTGTTTATCAACTGGTCTGCATATTGACTTGTTAGGGCCAAATATGTAGGATCAGGCGCCCTTATCTTCTCAAGCGATTCTGTTGCCAGTTAGTCGATCTAACGGTGCAAGACTCATCCTGAGCGGGTTCCGATCAGAGACTTGCACACAAAACCACGTGGTAGGCAGCGAGCATTAAACCGTGCCCGTTTGAAGTGTCGCATTCAACAGGTCAGTTGGTTATATCTAAATCGGATTTTCTAGATTCGATATTCCAGATTTTTTTTCACATAGTAGTTATACTAGGCGTTGATACGGAGGGGTCAGAGCGCGCCCAAACGCTACTACTTGGACCGCTCTGAGTGCTGCTGGAGAAAATCAGCTTAATTTCGTGCTTTTTTTAAATTTGCAATGTCTCTGGTATGAAAGCCTGTTTTGACTCAAGGAAAAGTGAACCGGTTTTGACTCAAGGAAAAGTGGACCGATCTTGACGGCTTTTCTCTTCTA